ATATTTTTTTCTTTATACTTATTCATTACAGAAAATTTAGAAAATAACTAAAAGTCAAATAAGAACCTGTAAATATTCTCATCACCCGGATATAATTGTTATCTTTGTGTACGTCCTTCTAGACCTTTCTCAATACAGGGGAACACACCTATTCATTAAAGAACAGTGGGTTCATAACATACATACTTTTCATAACCTAGATTTTAACTAAATATATAATAATACCTCTTTATCAGTAAAATTCATCTGCCTAATTTCATTTATACTTTTATTTCATTTTATTTTTGTCACCCTTGATAGAGTGCCCTGGCATTATAGCTCACAGCAACCTCAAACTCTTGAGCTTAAGTGATTCTCTTGCTTCAGCTTCCCCAGTAGCTGGGACTATAGGCACCCGCCACAGCACCCAGCTATTTTTAGAGACAAGGTCTCACTCTGGCTCGGGCTGGTCTCAAACCTGTGAGCTCAGGTAATCCACCTGCTTTGGCTTCCCAGAGGCCCTTCCATTGGCATTCTTTTTTTTTTTTTTGCAGTTTTTGGCCAGGGCTGGGTTTGAACCAGCCACCTCCAGTATAAGGGGCCAGTACCCTACTCCTTTGAGCCACAAGCGCCGCCCCCATTGGCATTCTTGATGATCTCCTTGGGCCAGTTTTATTCTCCACCCTCCCTGCCCTTCCTCTGGCTGGCTCACCTGGTGCCCGGCCATCCATGTCTTCCATGCAGTCTTGGTAATGTTTAGCAAGGAGGGAATATAGCTGAGCCAAGTCTGGGGCTTCTCCAGCTTCCAGGAGGGCTTCTGCTGTAGCCAGGTGCATCACTGTGTCATCACTCACTCTCCACCTTCCCACATCCAGGGCGTCCAAGCCACCCAGCTGGGCCAGCTGCCGGTGTATCTTCTCCCCATCTCGGAGGAACTCCCACTTCCCATTAAAGTACCCCAAGGCATCTCCAGCTGCACTCAGCACCATGGCAGCCACGTATCTCTCCATCAGTCCCTCACAAATGCTGGGCTGTGAAGAGGTCATCTTTAGGGGACTAATAAGACACACGAGGAAATAAGAGGAAGAAGAAGAATCAGAAAAGACAAAAGCATCTACATTTTATCGACTACTCACTATGTGTAGGCATTTCATCTAATCTTCATAAGTGCTCTATGAGGAATGTATTATTAGGTCCATCTTCTACATATGCATAAACAGAGGATCATAGAAATAGTACAACTTTAAACAGAGGATCATAGAAATAATACAGCTTCAAAAATGTTTGACGACTTTTACATCTCAGGTCACAAAGCCAATGAGTGGCAGGGCTGGGATTTGTTGCAGGTCCCTGAAACAAAAACTGGATGAGGTTTCCCTCTTGTCCTCTGCTATGTCTCTGAGCTTGACTTTGTAACTGAGTGAGAATTCTCTGCTCAGTCTCCACCATCTGGAGGGTGTGTTTTATCAGGAACATGTCAGGTGGCTGGTCTGCAAAGACCAGGAGGCCAAGACACGTGAGATTCTAAGCAGCACATTGTGTGTACTGAACGTGTCAAGCTCTGAGGAATGAGTCTTTTGTCACTGTCTATTCTAACATAAGTCTATTTCTGAGAGTGAAATTTTGGGAATCTTGGAAATGTCCTTTTCTATGAAGAGGCATTGAACCTTATAAAAAGGCAATGAGTTGAGTCACTTTTAGAACAAATATATCACTAAGTGGCCAGAAGATGGATTCTTTAAACTAGAAAAACTCCTTAATCTAAGGAAAATTTTAGAGTGCTCTCATCTTAAGCAATTCCTTATTTATATTTATAGGAAAATTGAATTGAAAGAAAGACAAACATCAGTATTGTGGCTAGCCTTAAAAACTCCCTAAAAAAACTGACGAGCAGAAATCTGACTTAGAGCAAAAGTTAAAATCTGTCTGTACCTTAAACTCCCTTCCAATTTATACTCCCCTCTATCCTCGATAGAGGGGAGTATACCTGTCCCTGATCCCCCAGAAACTCTTTTAGACAATAGGCAGGGCCCCAGCTCTCCTTCACAAGGAGAAAAGATGGTGTCAATGGCCCCTGTCCATATTCCAGTTTTACCTCCTGTTTTAATGTACCTATGGCCCTGTTTTTATCCCATCTGTAACATGTTTGTAGTTTGTCTGAGGAAAAAAAATAAATGAGAAACACACGGGGAAGCCTACCCGGTTGGTAACTGTACTTTTAGCATTTTAAGAAAGGTACTGTAACAGGAAACCAACGCAGACATAAGACTCCAGGCACCAGCTGATTAGAGGAAGCGGGTTTATTCAGGCCAGGGGGTAACTTGGAACACCAGTATGTCTCCAAAACCGAGCCCCCCGACTCAATCTCTTGCCTCCCTTTTATCCACTTTTCAGAGAGGGAGGGCACATGAGGGTCATAAAACAGAGAGAGACATGACATCATCCTCAAGGTCCCAGACTCAAGGGGGAAGGTCAGATTCGCCCACATCCTTGAGACTGGTCGGACCACCTGCCCTCAAAGGCGATGGAAGTCCAGGGAAGTTACTAGGTTACAATCTAGGCCCTGCGTATGTCAAGGAAGAAACATACAGACAACAGAAATGCCTGCGGCTTGGCTGAGGCCTACACATGGCAGCTAGGACAGATTCTTTTAGCTCTGCTTTTACTTTCTTCCCTTATTCCCCCCTTTGAGACTCAGAACAACTTGTTATGGAGTCTCGCCACCATCCTCATCAACCTGTGCCACAGTTCGTTGGTGGTGCATGTAATACGCTGGGCCTCTTTGAGACATAGCCAAATTCACTAGGTTCCTCACCATCTGGAGATATACTGGCAATAAGCGTGGGAGGAGAAAGCAAGTACCCAATAACAGTAAGACTCTTATTATAAAGGGTCTTAAAACCTCCAAAAGCAGAGAACCATCCTCCAAAGATGAATTTTGGATTACATCCGTGCCACACCTGTACCAGCACATGAGCCAATTTGGAAATTTCATTAGCTATACTTTCCACTACTAGACCTTGATCATCTATTTTCAGACAACAATTGGTCAGATTGAACTTTCTACATACTCCTCCTTATGCAGCAAGTAAATAATCCAAAGCTAATCTGTTTTGTACAGTTTTCTACATTAGCATCCTGAATATTTGCACAATCTAAAGTCCACTTAGCTTTCACGAGTCCAATAAAGAACAGTCCCAGGATGACGTAGATCTTCATGCTTTGGCCCTGCATGGACCAGTCAGCTCCCGGGGTGTGACTGGAACAGGGCTTGCCGTTCTCCGCAAAACCAGCTTGAGGGGTGGTCAGGATCCGAGGTAGCTTCCCAAGGTTCAGGAATTGTTGAGGTGCAGAGCCCACACCATGGGAACTCAGGATCAGCTGCCGTTGTCACGTCCTGCTCGGTCCGGCTCCTCTTAGGCGGGAGCAGGTTCTCCTCTGGTTCCACGGCAGGCTTCACTCTGCTGTAATGGATCCAGGCAGGAATTTCTGCTACTCTCACAGCTGTAGGTGTGGTCAGGATAACGTTGTAAGGGCCTTTCCACCTCGCCCTCAGGGGAGACACGCTCCAATGTTTGACCCACACTGTAGCTCCTGAAGGGAAAGGGTGGACAGGGGAAAACAAACTGCAACTTCTTCCTTAATTCTACTTCTCCCAATTCCCAGGGGGATCCTGGCAAGCTCCATAGTAAGGGTAGTGGCCTATGATATAAGATCTTACATGGTGAGAATCCTGTCTTCTTAGTAGGAGTACACCTAATCTTAAATAACACCAAGGACAGGGCACTCACCTACTGTAAGTTTGTCTCCTGGCATACTTTCCCTAAACTTGCTTTGATAGCTCTATTCATGCATTCCACCTTCCCCGAGCCTTGTGGGCAGTAGGCTGCTGGAGTTTCCAGGTGATGCCAAGGATGTTAGCCATCTTCTGGACTAATTCGGAGATGAATGCTGGCCCATTGTCGGACCAAATCCTCAGCAGGAGCCCAAACTGTGGTATAATGTTGCTCAAGAGTGCCCAGGTGACTTCTTGCGCCTTCTTGGTGTGGGTAGGATATGCTTCTACCCATGCAGAGGAGGTGCACACCATCACCAGCGAGTATTTGTTCCCTCTACATCTAGGCATTTCAGTGAAGTCTACCTGAAACTTCTCAAAGGGCATTGCTCCATATAACTGGATTCCTGGGGGTACCGTTGGTCCTTGGTGGGCATTGAACTGGCTGCAGATGACACATCACTCGCTGACTGATGGCTTTTGCCAGGGCTTGTGCCATCACATAACTGCTTCCATCAACATACAAGTCCCAATCTGCATCTGTCCAACGCTGGTCATGCAAGTCAGGTCTGCTAGAGTACACATTATGTATAAATTCCACATAATCATTACACATGGTGGCTAGGAAAGATTCTTTTAGTTCTGCTTTTACTTTCTTGCCTCATTCCCCCCTTTGAGACTCAGAACAACTTGTTATGGAGTCTCACCACCATCCTCATCAACCTGTGCCATAGTTTGTTGGTGGTGCATGTAATACGCTCCACCTGGGCCTCTTTGAGACATAGCCAAATTCACTAGGTTCCTCACCATCTGGAGATATACTGGCAATAAGCGTGGGAGGAGAAAGCAAGTACCCAAT